GTGGGTTTATTGGGCTACAAACACAGTTGACTTTCCTTCCCCGTTCTCGAAATGAACAAGTCATTCTTGATTCTTGATACAAAAAAGGAACTCGGCCAATATCCAGCCATCTTGACCACTTTCTTAATATCCTAACCATCATAATATCTGGTCAGAGCAGTGTAACCTGCCCATGTTATTGTGTTAAAGGCTTGGTTTAGGTCATGACTCCAGTGCCGCGGCTGGCTGCCCCGACGCAACATTTATTATGTCTACCGCTGTACCTGGAGGAAAGAATGCAGGAACATGGTCCGCTTGCAGCAGAAAACGTCTTCAAGAGTTACTGAGGTAGTTCATTCATTTTTTATTCTGCATATGCAAGTTGAAGATGTTTTTTTTTTTACTTACGTTCATCACCCAAGAGTATGTTACGACTCTTAGCCTGAGAAATTATGAACGTTTTTTTTAATACACACCAGTCAGTTCAAGAGCTTGCATCTATCTTCCCATCAATTTTTAACTGATGTATCTCCCACTTGAAAATTAAATGATACAGTTCTATATTCGGATCACTCAAAGGAATCACTTAGGAAGAGAATAGTAATGACAATTCCACGAGAAAACGCTTTGACTACACATCTAAAAAGGCGGTGACCACGAGGTTTATGTCATCGATATTTGGTCTTTGTATCTTTTTGTTTTCAATGAGAACTGCCCCGAGTTGCCTAACGGATGGAAGATCCCGCAAATTGAATTACTTAAAGTACTTCCATAGCAAGCTCCCAGGAAGCGTGATATCTGGAGATGAGCAGTGTAAAGAGCAATATGGCAAAGGCGTTTTTCAGTGTAAACGAGCACTGGTAAGAAAACAAACGGAATATTTCGGTGACACATCGTCAAGGCTCAAAGTATATGGGTGATCAACAAGATTATACTTAAGCGAAGGAATGGAAGTTACTAGCTTACTGTTACCCTGTTGTGACTCATCATCATGTTGGTTCATTACGGGAAACGGTGTAGCATCATCCTTTACACCCTAGCTTCAGTATGCATATTCTCCATACTATTCTCTATTCATTTCCTGAGGTGCTGACAAGGAGAATTTTTTTTTTTTAACGATCATGAGTTCCTTTTTGTAGGTGATAATTTCTTCTATTCTCGTGACTCTAATGTGTGATTCATGGGTGATGTTGAAGGAGAAAAATTAGATTCTAGCCACCCTTAGGGTTCAAATGGATAAGAGAATAGCGGGTGGAAGTGATAAGGAAGACGGGCGAGGAAAATGTAGGATGCGAAAACTTTCTGAGAATGAGACTTGGAAGAAAAAATGCAAGAATACAAAAAATTCTTAATCCCCCCCCCCGTATCACCACCACAACCATCACCACCATCTATTAAAGGAGCCGTAGTGTTTAATATTCTTTGATGATTTCTCGTTAATTTGTAAGTGTATTTGTTTTTAGTCTAACTGTGGCTCATTGTATTGCACAACAAACGGCTACTCCTGCTACAGTAAAGTCGCTCCACCACTAGATGGGACGCCATGTGGATCTCAACATGTAAGACAAACTCTGACTGGTTTTTGGCTGGTTTATATCTAAATGATTGCCAAATGGTCGATCCTGTGCCGTAAACTTAGTATTTACTAAATTAACCCCTTTAGGCGGCTGGTATGTCGGCTGATGTTGTCTTACTACGGTATATTTTTCGTTGGCTTTGTTTCTTTTCGACGGGAATAATCGGAGGACAGATAACGACGAAGAGAGGGGTTTAATGCGTAATAACTGACCAGTGATCTTGCACCACGTGAAGTAGAGTAGCTAATAGAATCGCACGAAAATTAATGAGTTGAGATAAAGTCTTGTCTCATCAAAACATTCAGCAACACACAATGAACATGTAATTTTCGCCCGAGGATATGAACTCGAGTCTGAGAATAAACTTAGGACTGCTTACCTGAATAATATATCTTATTCGTATATACACACTCAGTGATCTTGGCGTTTCAAGCAATCTGATTGGTTCGCTATATATCTCGGGCTATTCAACAATATACACCTCCGAGCGAGTGGATAATGGGAAAAACAAAATGGCGGGCGTAAACTCGCGTTTCGCTAAAGTTTCAGAGGCAGAAATTTTACAAATACAAGACGAGGCTGTGCCTGATTAGACAAAAAAGGCAACTAAGTATGGGGTGAAAGCTTTTAAAAGTAAGAGAAGACTCCACACTGTTCAAAAGTGTTTGGTGTTTTATTTTGCAGACAACTGTCAATATACTGACATCCATAACTCTTCACACTGCAACAATTTTTTACAAAACAAACAATTTCTTTATAGACTGGTTTTCCCAGCAAGACGAATTTACCACAGATGTAAAAGAGATGAACAAGGAGGAATTAAATAAATGCTTGAGGAAATTTTATATGTCTGCAAGAAAGCAGGACAGCGGTTATTACA